TGTGGGAGAGTGTGTGTAGGGGTGTGGTGTGCCGGGGGTGTGTCTGGGGTGTGGTGTGTGGGTGTGTGGTGTGTGTCTGGGGTGTGGTGTGTGTCGGGGGGTGTGTCTGGGGTGTGGTGTGTGGGGTGGGTGTGTGTGTCTGGGGTGTGGTGTGTCTGGGGTGTGGTGTGTGTCGGGGGGTGTGTCTGGGGTGTGGTGTGTGGGGTGGGTGTGTGTGTCTGGGGTGACGTGTGTGGGGTGTGTGTCGGGGGTGTAATGTGTGTGTGTCCCTGCCCGTCCTTCACAGCTGGTACCAGGGTGACTGGCGACAGTAAACGTGCATTGCTAGTCGCATGACAAAGCTTAGACAGCGGTCCATCCCAGGGCCAGTGCGGTGCAGGATGGCTGTGCAACAGCTGTGAACGCTCTCAAGGCTGCTGTCCCTCCCATGCGACCACGGTGCACACTGAGGCAGTCGGCTGCTCCCAGCTGCTCCAGGCCCTGCCAGTGCACTCAGTCCCCCAGGACTCAGGATCATAGGACGAGCGGCTCCCAGGGCATGGGCCCCAAGGAAGTGCAGTCCTGACCTGTGACCCCTCTTGTCACTGAGCCCAGGGTACCACGCTTGGGGTGACACCCTGTGCTGTCTCAGCTGGGCACTGCAAAGGCATGACACCCTAGGTGTGTCATAACCTCCCTTCTCAGGACCGTCCCATCCTGTCCCAGGGACAGGGCTGGCCTGTGGCAGGGCCATCAGATCTTTCCATATCATCTTCCACTGATAATTCCACTTCCCAGAGGCGAGAACTGTGGTGGTGAAGGGACGAAATGTGTCTAGGTGGAGAGGGGCACTGGCCGCCAATCTCCCACCCCAGCTCCTGACACGGGCTCACAGTTGTGGCCCTGTCCCTCCCTTGGATGGGCAGCGAGGCCCCTGGGTGCAGGACAAGGGTGGGCCTCCACCCCACCACCAGGCCTCAAGCTCTCCCATCCCCAGGACACGCCTCTCCGCCCTACTCTGCCCACATGGCCACATCAACTCCACCGCACCCCACGTTGGGCCCTTGTGCCCTGGCAGCCTCTACACACACCACGGGCTGTGTTTTCCTCTGTGCAGACCCACCCTGATCCCCTGTCAGGAAGTGCTTCGGCCTCAGAGGGCCTTCACCTCTCCTGGACGGCCGAGTCCCTGGGGTCACTTTCTGAGCACTGGCCAAGAGTGTGTTGGGGCAGGCAGACACACGAGTCTCCACCAGCTCTGGGGCAGACCCAGTCCCCAAGTGCGACCCTGACCAACTGACCTTCCATCGGTCAGCCGTCTCTGGGGGGTGAGACGCTCCCCAACACACAGGGTCACCCAGCAGAGCTACAGGCACCAGGACGCAGCATGGTGAACTGAAGATGCCACCAATGTCTTCTAAGCTTCATATTCCAAAGACACTTTGCTGGCCCTTTAATCAGACAGCCCCCAAACCACTGTGACAGCTACCACGAAAACAGCCATTACAGGAAAGAAAAACCCAGCCAAGTTCCAAAGCTGCCCTGCCCTGGGTGGCTGGGAGAGGACACAGGAGGAAGCGGTAGGCCTGTGCCCTGAGTATACTGTATCGCAATCTCCAGGCCCTGGGCCTCACCTGCAATGGCTCATTCCTGGCCCACAAGGCAGAAAACGGCACTCACTCTCCTCAGGAAAGGATCTCTGGACTTACAAGCCACACTGTGACCTCTGCCGCAGGAAGCATCCACAGACCCCAACAGAACCCCGGAGCCTACTCGGGAAATTCACAACCACGGCCCCTCTGAGTTCCCGGCATGCCCAGGACGCCCTGGCTTTGGCCCACCCTTGAAAAGGCCGAAGCCACTCTCTCCTAAGCTGGTCCTCCCTGGGGAGGTCTCACAGCCCTTGCAGGCTGTGGCCTCAGTGGAACAAGGGAATGGGAATGTCCCAGATGGGGCCAAATGCCTCTGCAGAGAATGTGAAAAGGGGGTGGGGTCCATCCTGAGCGCTGGAAAAATACTGCGCTCCTCTCTCAGCTCCCCTACCCTCCACACACTGCTCCTGGCCACGCTGCTGCGAGCCCACGGCTACATTCCCATATCCATCTGTGGCCGCCAGCTTTGTTAGGTCCGGCCATGGGAGGCATTGACAGGAGACAGGAAGGTGGAAGGAGAAACGTTTTTGTGGCTTCTCGTAGGGCCTCCAGCAGTGGTGAAGGCAGTGTGACGGGCAGGGCGCGGCTGCAGATTGCACGGCCACAGCCGGCGAGACTGAGTAAGTGTTTGACACTTCACTCCTCCTGCCCATGGCTGGTAATGGAAACCTCACCTTCCCACTTTGTTCTCAGCCCTTCTATCACCTTTGTAACCAATTCCCTGTGGTTGAAATACCTGGGTGGTTTCTGCTGCTGTAACAGTGACATCCCTTCTCCCTGGGCACCCATCTTTCATTCCCTGCTGACCCCAGGGGCTTGTGTATATGCCCGCCTAGCTACAGGGACACACCTGGAGCCTCACATTTAAAATTGTAAAAGCAGCCGGGCGTGGTGGCTCACGCCTGTAATCCCAGCACTTTGGGAGGCCGAGGCCGGTGGATCCCCTGAGGTCAGGAGTTAGAGACCAGCCTGGCCAAGATGGCGAAACCCTGTCTCTACTAAAAATACAAAAATTAGCCAGGCATGGTGAGGTGTGCCTGTAATCCCAGCTCCTGGGGGGCTGAGGCAGGAGGATCGCTTGATCCTGGGAGGTGGAAGTTGCAGTGAGCCAAGATCATGCCACTGCACTCCAGCCTGGGCAGCAGAGCAAGACTCCGCCTCAATGATAAATAAATAAACAAATAACATCTCCTGACCATATGGCCTGCCTGCATCTGCTGGCAAAGGAGCCCTGGGTCCACGGCCAGTTCATAGAGACCCACTGCCCGCTTCCCAGCCTCCCCACCAAGGAGGAGCTTCCTGGGACTGCCTGAAGGACTCCAGTGCTGCCACAGGACACAGGCTCCATGGAGACAGGGAGTCCTCCGGGATGCCTGCACCAAGGTAAACCACCTGGCCGAGGAGCACCATTCAGCTGTGAGAGCAGCCACAGGCGGCTGGGCACAGGCTTGGTCCATGGCACCCAGTGGAGGGGTGGAACCACACCAGCCAGCCCACCAAAGCTCCGTCTCCACAGCGCTCCACGCTCACTGGCAGCTTCTCCTGTCCAGTGCTGGCTGCCAAGAGACATTCCGGGCTCAGCAGACACGGGCCACCTGGGGCTCTCAGAGCTTGTTTAACAGGAGAGGGCAGCACCTTAAAACTCTCAGGAGCTACTGACAGTGTGTTTAACATGTTTTAAAAGAGAGCAATTGGGTTTGCTTTTCCTCTTCATTAACTTCATTCCTCCCCGCGGGCAGGCTCTAGCACGCCACTTCCTTTATCTACTGATCAGTCAGACGACAACACAGGGGCCACCAGGGTGACCATGCACTGCCTGAAGCACAGGATACATCTCTGAAGTGTGGTTCTGGACATTCTATTATCTTTCAAGAGCAGACATCCCATCCGAATATTTTCCAATCCAGGGCAAATGGCTCCAGTGACCCAGAGGAGTACACTAGACTCTCAGTCTTTTCTGTTTTTATTTTATGATGATGATTATTTTTGAGACAGGGTCTCGCTCTGTGGCCCAGGCTAGAGTGCAGTGGCACCATCATACCTCACTGTAACCTCAAACTCCCGGGCTCAAACAATCCTCAAGGCACGTGCCACCAAGCCTGGTTAGTTTTTTTCACATTTTTTGGTAGAGATCAGGTCTCGCTATGCTGCTCAAGTTGGTGTGAAACTCCTGGCTTCAAGCGATCCTCCTGCCCTGGCTTCCCAAAGCAGGCGGATTATGCCCACCCATCCTTTCTGCTTTTAAAAACCATGAAGCAAGTCATTAAAGCAACTCCCATTCTGGAAGCTCTTAATTTTTAAAAATGTCCAAATACCACATATATCAACCTCCAAATTGTTAGCAGAAACAGAAGCACTCCGGCTCTGGAGGCTGAGGCAGGAGGACGGCTTAAGCCCAGGAGGCAGGGGCTGCAGTGAGCTATGACTGTGTCACTGCACACCAGCCTGGGTGACAGAGGGAGACCCTGTCTCTTGGGAAAAAAAAAAAATATATATATATATATATGTTTTTTTAAGGGATAAGCAATCCTATATATCATGGGTTGGGAAACTGGGGCCTTTGGGGCAAATCTGGCCCACCATGGATTTTTATAAATAAAGTTTTATTGGCACACAGCCCTGTCCACTCATTGTGTATTGACTGGCTGCTTTTACAATACAACAGCAGAGCAGAGTGGCTGTGACAGAGCCTGTGGCCCACAAAGCCTAAATATCTAGCCCTTTACAGAAAACACTGGTTGGCCCCTGTATACTAGAAGTGGTTTCACACTGACTGTCTACACTTCCCCTCGGGATGGACCCACAATGAAAGCGTGAAATGGCTCAAACCAAGGGACGCAGCCAGGACAGATAAAGAAGGCAAAGGAACACACGTGGAGGGATGTGGAGGATGCCCCCGCCTGCCCCCCACCTGTGGGAGGAGACAGATGGACAGGGCACAGGGGACAGAGAGGGCCCAACTCACCTGTCGCCTGGCAGAAGAGGTGGAAGGTCCCCAGGGCGTGCACGTGCTGTGCCTGGTCACTCAGGAAGGGCGGCAGCAAGGAGACCTTCGAGCTGCTGTCGGGCCCCGAACCCGAGGCTGGCCAGGGGGTCCAGGGGGAGGAAGGCCTCCTGTCCCCCGCATGGCCCAGACAGGACAGGGAGGAGGAGCCAGGAGGAGGGAGGGGCTTAGGAGACGAGGCTGTGAGACAGAGAGGACAGAAAAGAGAGGGCACTGAGGAAGAAGTCACCAAGAGCACGTCACAGGCCAGAGAGGGCAAAACACAGCAGGAAACGGACAGAAAAGAGTGACCCCAGCTGTGCCACCTGGGCCATGCAGGGGCGGGAGGCTGCACGGCCTCCGCTAAGGAATGTCTTCCCCAAATCAAGGATAGAAGCTTCTCATTTATTTGGGTACTTTCCAAATGTATACAATTCAAAGTAGAAAAATAAAAACAAGGTAAATCTTATAAAACACAAATGTTTACACCAAAATGGTCAAATCCTATCATGCTGGAAGACGAGACTGTCCACACACGCACACAAACATCCAGAGTTTATTGCTCTTCGCCATGGAAAAAGAAGTCTCTTCCTGATGGGTATTTACAAAGCGGGGAGATGGAGTGTGAAATTCACCAGTGTTGAAGTCGTACCACCCATTCACATCTTCAGGACAGTGGCAGGAACAGCGCCTGCGCTTGAGGGTGCTGTGGTCGCAGCTCGCGGCCCCGGCCACGGAGGCCCAGTTCCGTTCCAGTGGCGGGCAGCTCAGTGAGGCTGGATGGAAAGTCCGGGCAGGCAGTGGGTATGAAATTGAAGCAAGAAGAGAAAGGAGATGTTCAGAGAACCAAAGGCGCCCTTGTGAAGGTTCCAGCTGTCTCACAGGAGGTTCTGACCGACAGCTGTGGGCTCCAGATTGTACCGCGCTCCCATCTCAGCTCGGGGCTAGCCTGGCTCCACTCAGCTCACCCAGCCACCTTCCCTTGCTCAAAACCCACCTCGCGGACGTGGGAAGGTCCTCCTCTTCAAGAGAGTAAAAGTTAAAAAAAAGAAAAAGTAAAACAAAGTACAGAAAGAAAATCTCTCCAAAAACGACGCTTCCCTCAAGGAATAAAGTTAAAAAAAGAAAAAAGAAAAAGGTGAGTGGGTTCCGGGGAGTGTTCATGTCTACATTTCTAAAAGCAGAAAGAATCCATTTAGCAAAAGGAAGTTTATCCCTGAGAATCTTAAGCAACGTAAGCCATATTTTATGCCAAATATACAACAAAATCTGGAAGATATACATCTTCTTCTAAATATTAAAACATCTGTTTCTATAATTAAAAAAAAAAATGACCCAAGACATCAACACAATCAAAGCAAAATCCTAAAAAAATAATTAAGTGGAAGAAAAGGTTCGTGCCAATCTGGACAACAGGCGATAAGTTACCAATCTGATAAACTAAAACGTCATTTCCAATCTGGAATTAAATTATCTTTTAGTGGCTGCTACAGGGAGGGGAAGCTGAAGGGATGCTCTTCTCAGCCAACAGAGGTCCAGCCATGTTTCCCCCACTACAGAAAGGGCTCAGGAACTCTGTGCCGCCCGCAGGCCTTCTTCAAGTACTCCAAATGACTGCAGAACATGAGACCGGGATGCAATGCTTGTCATTTTTCCAAAAGGACAAAGAGAAACCAAGTCACAGGCTCAACCCAAGAGAAAATAGACAAGAGGACTGAGGTTGTCTGCACGATGCGGGCTAACCTACGCAGCACTGCACGAGACTCGGATACTGAACAGGAGAAACACAAAACACTCCAGGCCTGGACACGTCGCAGCCGAGGCGCCGGCGGGGACGCACAGCCGGCCTCAGTCTCCATCTGCGTCTGAGTCCGCGAACTTCAGCTCACACTTGACGTCGAAGGGCTTGTCCCTGGCGGAAAGGTCGTCGATCCTCTGTGAGTCCTCCCTGTCTGTGGGGACTTTGCTGGTGATGGTGTCTTGCTCGGTCTCATAGCCAGTGTCCAGGGCTGGCTTGGGGTGCTCCCCATTCTGCTGGGAGAAGCTCCCTGGCTCCACTAACGTCTCCTTCAGGCTCTGCTCACGGTCACAAAAATCTGACTTGGGCTTCTTCTTCCCGATCAGCAGGGCCGAGCGGAATTTCAAGCACTGTCTGGGCAGGTATCCCTTATAGCAGTTGTACAAAAAGAGGCAAAGGAAGAGAACAAAGAAGAAGAGGAAGAGGGACATGAGGAGGCGGTTATCGCTGGACTTAAGATACATGGTTTTCTCCGAGTGGAGCTGGGGGACCGTGTTGATGACAATCTTTGGTTCACAGGATGTGCTGGTGGGCACAGGCTTGGGAGGAAGGGTGATGGCCCCGGAGGAGGTGGCCTGCACGGCTGGGGTCGGGGGAGAAGACCCTTGGGTGGATGCCACCAACACTTTGGTGACAATCCTACTACCTTCTGTCTGAACAACTGACAAGGTGGGGGCCACCACGGGCTTTGGAACCACCTTCACTTCCAGGACGTGCTTGGCGACTACTTGGAAGACCGTCTTGTTCTTAACCCTCTCCTCTGACAGGCACTGGTACACCCCACTGTCTCCTTCTGATAAGTTGAAGATGAGCAAGTTTTTTCTGCCCATAAGACCGTACTTGGGGCTCTCGGCCTTCAACACGCCATTCTGGAACTTCCAAAACACCCGGGCCAGGTTGGACTTTTGGGAGCATTTCAGTTCCGCTGTGCCACCATGCTTGAAAAAATGCTGCCGGTAACTTCCTTTACTTTTATCTGGAACATCAAAATAAATGTGCACAGCGTCAACAATCCCCATTTGCTATTTAACAACTTCTTTAAAATACCCACAAGATGATGCAAGAGTTTCACCCACTGGAGCAACATGGAATCTTCCAGAACAACTAAGGAGATAAAGACATGCGTGACCAAAAAGCAAAGATGAGCCCTGGATGACACCCCATAGGGACAAAGAAATCAGAGGCAGCTCTGAGCAGTAGAAATCGCATTTCTCACCCGTGTCCCAGAAGAAAACGCGCCAGGCTGGGGAGGCTGAGCAGAGGCCAGTTCTGCGCCTAGTGGCGCTCTCTGAATCAGACACGAGATGCTTCTGCTAGTGGCTACAAGGAAGGCTGACCTTTCAGGGTATCTCAGCACTCTCCTCCTGCCTAAACTTTTTTCTTTTTTTTTTTTTTTTCTTGAAACAGGGTCTGGTTCTGTTGCCCAGCCTGGAGTGCAGTGGTGCAATCACAGCTCACTGCAGCCTCAACCTCCCCAGTTCAAGGGATCTTCCCACCTCAGTCTCCAGAGTAGCTGGGACTACAGGTGTCTACCTCCAGGTCTGGCTAATTTTTGTATTTTTTGTAGAGACAGGGTCTCACCACATTGCCCAGGGTGGTCCTGAACTCATGAGCTCAAGTGATCCTCCTGCTTCAGACTCCCAAAATGCTGGGATTCCAGGCATGAGCCACTGTGCCTGGTCAGCTTTTCTTTTCTTTTTAGAGTCTGGGTCTCACTTAGTCACGCAGCCTGGAGTGCAGTGGCATGATAAGCTCACCGCAGCCTTGAACCCCTGGGCTCAAGCAATCCTTCTGCCTCAGCCTCCCTAGTAGCTGGGACTACAGGCGTGTACCGCCATGCCCAGCTGTCTAAACTTTTCTTAGTCTGATGACAGCTGTCTTGTCAGGGACAGGAGGACACAGAACCGAGGGTCAAGTCTGCCTTTAGCACCCTGGAAGGTGGCTGCTGGGGAAGGGGAGTCCTGGCCTGATGCCACCCCTCCCTCTGGGCGAGGCACTATTTCAGACATCCACAGGCGGGTGAATCTCAGGTGGGAGCCCCAGGGGAAACACCACCCCAGCCCTTCCACTGCCTGAGGATTAATCACTCACGGGCTCCTTTCTCCCCATTTATAACAGACTTAGGTTTTGTTTAATGAGCCCCAAGCTAAGCAGAAAGAAAACAGGACGGTTTTGGAAGGAGACTGCTTCCCAGTAAACAGACACACTCTAAGTGGCTTCAAATACTCTTTTGGCAAGAAAAAAAGACAGAGAAGACCATGAGTCTGCTACAGGACACCTGACCTCTGTTCCAAGTGGAGAAAGAAAAACAAAACACACACAAATGCCACAGAACTGAAGCACCGTGAAATGGCTACAAGACCTCACCACTCCCACAGGAAACAGGACGTCGAGGAGTCACTCACCCGGGCACACAGAAGCATCGCCGCTCATCTCCTGAATCAAACCCCTGCAAAACAACCGGCACGTGTTACTCACCCGCACACACAGGGACATCCCCCGGCGGCGCGTCCTGCCCCGTACCTGCTGGGGCTCTCAGTCTGGTGCAGAGCCACACACGTCGCTGTGGGTGGGCTCCAGGCGCAGTAGGGGTCCCGAGCCAGCACACAGTCCTCGCAGGTACCGTGCTTCCCACAGAAGGCCAGAGGCGCCTGGACCACGCCCGAGTTAGAGCCAGCATAGACGAACCTCCTGCCCTGCGTGTGTGAGACACAGGAGAACTAGCATCAGGCAAGCAGGCACCAGTGTGTGGGAAGCAGCCAGAGTGCACCACCAGGGCACGCTGCAGTAAGCGGGAGAGGTACTCAGAACCAGAGGCGAACAACGCAGGCCTGTGACCTTCCGGCAGAATACACGTGCTATGTCAGGGCTCACTGGGCCTTAGATCCAAATCCCTCTCTCCCCTGTCTGGGCATCCACTGCCTGGGTCCTGCCCTCCAGCAGAGCGCTTCTCTGCATGTGTTTCTCTTAGCCAGTGGAGAGGCTGTTCAGTCCCCACCTCCAGACCGCCTCCATGCAGAGGGGGATGCATGAGCCGGGCACTCCTGGTCATCTTCCCGGCCTCACTACAGGGGAGAAGGGGCTACAGCCAGAGGCTGAAACACACCACCTCGAAGCCCAACCTTATCCCTCGAGCCAGAATGTGAGCACCTATGGGCGGGGAGCCTCCTGTGAGGGTCTGGATCCAGCAGGGACCTAACATAACGGGGATGCCAAATGGACGACGTGCAAAGGATGAGCAGATCGCGATACATAACATAAAAGAAGGAACAATGCCTTTTGCTTTTCACATGTCTATATGTAAAAGGGAAGAGCTCCAGAGCAGCCACACCCACAGCAGAGGCAGGTGAGACTCTCCACCTTCTGGGACACTTGGCTCCCAGGGACACCAGCTTCAGGCCAATCCCATCAGCCCACCTGGCACCAGCAGTGCCCAGCACACAGGCATCCAGGGCTGCTGACTGCTTTTGAACGGAACTCAGCTGGAAGGAGGGTGCCCCACATTGCACCCACCTGAAGCTCAGGGGTGTGCAACAGACCTGGAGGTGGTCCGTGGAGTGTGCTGTCTAGCCTCTGCCCAGGGCATCTGCCTTGACAGCCTGGGAACACCTTTTGGTTAACAATACAAGATTCTCAAATTTACACAGGACTTAGTGGTTTACAGTCAGATGAAACACGACCTTCATCCTCAGAGGATACGCTGGGAGTCAACTTCAGAGAATGGCTGGAAGATCACAGGCCCTGATGCCAACACAGAAGGCCCCAGGCCACACACCCGGCTGTGCGGGCACAGACCCACCAGAGAAAGGGAAGGCCTCCAAGGATGGAAACTGTGACAATACACAGCAGAGGGAACCTGGCCCGGCACCGGCCTCACAGCAGCAGCAGCAGCAGCAGCAGCAGAGACCTGGGCAGATGAGGCCATGTGCGCACCACGTTTGTGGGCAGGATTGAGGATAATATCCCGGATCACAGTTCGGGCACCACGAAGCTTGTGGAGCGGCGGAAACGTTCTCTGGCAGCAAAGCCAAGCTGGGTAACTTCCAAGGGACAGCTGGTCCTGCTGGGTCCCGAAGGGGACACCTGCGAGGCGGCGTGGACCCCATGCAGTGCAGAGCAGGGTGCCCTGGATGGCCAGGCAGGGCATCGAGGGTGGCTGTGGAGGGTGGGGTGGGCTGTGGGAGCAAGGCCCGTCCCAAGGGGATCCAGACCACCTCGTGCATCCTGCAGGAGACTCAGCCCCAACTTCCGCTTCTCCCAGATCGGGCTGGGCTGGAGCCCACATGAAACTAGACGACGCCACATGGAGACCAAGGGATGATCGTGGAAGGGAAGAGGGGACAGGGAAGGAGGAAGCGGCCATCAGGACAGCCAGCTATAACTGCCGCAGGCATGACCCGCTGGTGGATGTGGATGCCAGTGGGCGGGAGGAGAACAGGGCATTTCTGTAGCCTCCAAGTCTATCCCTGCAAATAAGCATGAATGACTATGGGGGTTTCCCGCATGCCTACCCAGGGGGTGGGGCTCACTCTCCCCGACCCCTCAGTGTGGACTACATGCCCTGACACACTTGGCATGGAAAAAGATGGTGGTGACTTGGACCGAATGACCGAGGTCATCGCGCTGGTGTGAGTCATACAGATGCCACCTCCCCAGAAAGCGCCTTCTTTGGTGCTCCCCGTAAAACCACTACCCCAAGATAATCACAAGAAAACACCAGACCCGCCACAAAACACTGGACCACTCCTCTCCAGGAGTGCTGAGGTCAGGGAGGCAGGAACAGAGTAGAAGCCGAGGAGATGCAGTGTCCAGTGCAACCCGGGGTACTGAGCCAGGAAGGTGGGGGGTGGAAGGTGAGAGGGTCCAGGGTCTGGGGTTCAGGTAACGCACTGCACCATGACAGCACCTTGGCTCAGATAAATGCACACTGGTTATGTGAGACATCGCACATGCGGAGCTGGGTGGGGGCGCTCAAGATCCTTCTGTGCAGTCATCAAAACTCATGCGTAAATTTAAAATTATTTCAAGACAAAACGTTTTTTAAAGGCAAAGAAAAAAACCTGACCGGGCACCTGGCAGCATGAGTGAGGGACACTGAGAGCAAGCCTGTCCTGTGTACTCCTGCCCGTCGACGCCCCCTGCCTCCCACTTCCCTAGGCCTGAGGATTGTCCCCGTGCAGGCAGCTCTCATGCTCCCATCTCGGTCCCTGCTGCTGTGTGTGCACATCGGACCCTGAGGGCAGGTTGGAGTGATGGTGGACGTGATCAGAAGCAACCAAGCTGTCCAAGTGCCTTCCTTGCCCTCTGCCACACTAGCAGCTCAGCATCTCAAGGAGTCCTGGTGAAAATACAGACACAGCCAACTCAGTGGGCTCAGAGAGGGTGAAGCAAACTGAGTCCGCTATGTGCACCCAAGGAGCGGAAAGCAAGGACTTGAGGTATCCGCACACCCACGTTCACAGCAGCACTGCTCACAGGAGCCAGAAGGTGGGAGCAACCGTGTCCATCAAGGGATGAACGCGTACACAAAATGTGGTCTTCACATACGACAGAGGAGTACACAGCCTTGGAACACCCTGACCCCTGAGACAGCAGGGAGGAACCTCGAGGACAGTATGTTAAGTGAAATAAGCCAGTCACAAAAGGATAAATACGGTGTGATTCCACTTATATAAGGTACCCAGACAGAAACAGAAAGCAAAATGGCGGCTGCCCAGGGCTGGAGCAGGGGAGAATGAAGAGTTTGTATTTCATGGGTAAAAAGCTCTCTTTGGGAAGATGAAAAGCACCGTGCAGACAGACAGTGGTGATGGCTGCAAAACGACGTGAATGTTCTTAATGCCAATGACGTGCACAATGAAAAATGGTTACGACGGCAAGTTTCATCTGAAGTGTATTTACCAAAATGAAAAGCAAAACCCCATGCTTGTCATCGGGGAGAGGAGGTGAGGGTGGAGGAACAGCGCGCCGCCCCAGCCATAGGACAGGGGGAGGGCGTGGTACTGGCCGTTTCTCTGTTTGCTGATCACCCTGAGAAAGCCTGATGGGGAGGGGGGCACAGTCTTCTTACCACTGAACAGCCGCTTCCTGCTGCCATGGCCATGGAGCTGGGCCTTGCACCCCCACCTGGAGGCTACTGGGGCCCAAGGAGAAGGCACAGGACCCCACGGCAGGCAGGATGCATTTCTGCCTGTCCAGGCAACTAAGCCACATCCCCACCAATGGACGCTCCTACAGAGAGAGGCGGGTCGGGTGGTCCAGCAGGACCAGCAAGCGCTTCCCCAAATCCACTGGCTCCTCCTCCTGGGCGCGAGGCTCCCTGTGGCCAACTGCCCTGGTGTGGCCACGTGACCGAGTTCTGGGAGATGGCAGGTGGCCACTGACCCGTAACCGCCTCTATGCAGTCCTCCTCTCCCTACCCCCTTCTGCCTTTGAGGATCAGTGCCCATGTGCTCTGGAAGCCTCCACCAGCCCAGGTCCCTAAGTGACCCTTGGAATAGCAAGTCATTCTCACAAATGTCCACACCAGGGGCCCAATCTTTATTCTAACAAGAAGTCCACATTTTAGAGGCGTTATAGGTGCCTGCCCAGTCTGGCTGAGGCCACTAAACAGCACGATGGCCCCACAACAGCTTCTGGGTCCCCTCCTTTCAACAATGAGGCTGGGGTGAGGCCCTGGGGGTGGCCCGTGGCTAAAGCATCAACTCTTCCAATCTCCAGGGCTCCCTGTGTGTGCTGGAGACCGAGAGGCTGGTGAACAGATGCCAGAACCCGGTGGCTTCTAACTCCCTCAGGCTACTTCATTCTCTTTTCCTTTCAGATTTGAGGGAGAACTCTCCATTAGCAGAGAAGGGAAGTCAAAGGGCCCAGGCTCCCAAGCTTTGTGGACACAGGGGAGGGAAGAGGACGAAGACCTGGAGGGGCGTTTGCAAGTATGCACCTGCTGAGGGTAGGTATCTTACCTGGCCAGACAGGGGCCCCCTTCCTCTGCCTGTTGCTCCTGGCTGAGGGAGGAGGGGCCTGACTGGGCCTGGACCCCACAAGGTGGGTGGAGGTCCCGGGAGGAGCCAGGGCCAGGGAGGCAGCCCCCTAAAGGCCAGCGTAGATGCCCACCCAACCCTGCCAAGGGCTGCTTGGGAGTATTGCAGGCCGGACCGGAGAGTCTCAGCCACAGGTGGACACAGCTTTACAGATGAGATGAACCACTTCTCTTGTGGATTTTCCACGCTGACGAGTCAGCTGTATCACTATCATATCCCACAGATGCCGTCTGCACACCCCCCAAGCTCAGGTCACAAAAAAGTGTCTTCATGGAGCACTGCCCACCTCTCCACAGCCTGTAAACCTGCACCAACAACTCAATGACAGTCCAGCAACTTCGAAGAGAAAGTCCCGACTCCCCAGGTCTGCCTTCCTGCCTCCCCCAATTCAGATCCCACAGCTCACGGAATGGCTTTGTGTCAAAGTCTGAAGGTTGGCTCATCCAGGGCAGACTGACAGAGGGGCCTGCCTAGGAGCCCGACCCCAGCTTGGCAACTCTCCTGTCACCTAGAATCAAAGTCACCAAGCCGGGAAGCCCCCCGTCCGGCTGCCTGCGTCACTTTACCTTCTTTGAAGACAGCAGCAGGGTCTGGACCGGCTCAAAGTCCTGGAAGAGCTGGGTCTCCTCGATGATGTGAACAGCATGCTCGAGGCTGATGGCTTTGTGCAGAGCTCCCCGGTCTGCAGGGTCAAAGCTACAGGTCAGTGACACTAACCCAGACACAGAAACCAAGGACAGTGACCACAGCGGCAAACTTCACACTCTTCACTCTCAAGTCATTCCCTCCACAAGATACTTAGGAAACAATGATGATTTCACATTAGAAACAAAAAAAGGAAAAGCCTTTGGCAAAATAAACACCCGGAAACCCAAGTGTTACGGGTGATTCTGGTTTTTTTCCAAGGAAAATAAACTGTTCCATTGTTGACCCCAATAATCCTCATCGGCTGGGTGCCCCATGAGGCAGCTCCCACGCTCCACCAGCCCGTGGGGTGTCACTGGTGAGGGCCCTAGGCAGGCGGTGAGGGCAGGGGGCATGTGAGGTCGGCTGGGAGGCTCCGAGGGCAAGCCACAATATACTGCCAGCCACTGTGGCTCCTGGCCCCTGTCCCTGTTCCAAAAGTGCTTATTTCAGAGTCCACATGCCAGGGCACATCGAAAATCTGGCTCCTCAGCCAGGAAGCAGGGATGTGGTCTTCTGCCAGCAGTTAGGAAACGCCAGGCTGACGCCTCCTCCCAGGTGGCTCACACCTGCCCCCTGCACGGGCATTGCCCCAACTCCTCAGCGGCCAGTACTCCTCTGCACCAGCCCAGCCCCGCCGCAGGCCAGGACTTGCATTTTTATTTCGAACGAGTATCCCCAGCAGCCTGGTGGTCCCAGATCTGAAAGCCACCTGGTGTGGTGACTTCTCAGGAATCTTTTTACGTTCCCACAAACCTCCCGGGTTACCTCGAGGGAGGCAACAGAGCTACTCCCAAAAGAATAATTGGATTTGCCAGCTTTCCCACCAAAGGACACAGATGTGCTGTCACTGTCAAGCCTGCCAAGCCCTTGGAACCCACCTGTGCTGACAAACATGACATCATAGACAGTCCCATCCAGGGCCTGGGTCCGGTCCACCACGATCTGGGTGTAGTTTACATCTTTCTTGATTAACCTGGGCCTGTTGTCTATGGGGGTTACCGAGTCATCCATCAAAGGGTGGTCTTTGACGAACTGCAGCGTCTTGTCCGGCAAATTCAAGGAGCTGGTGTAGTTGGCTGCCCGTGCCTCGCTGTCGATGCACTGCAGGGAGGAAATCCCCTACTGTTAACGTGCTCGTGCTCCCACCACCCAACGGGTGCTTCCACACAAGCAGCCAACGCAGGCAGGCTGCAAAACCTGGAAACCACACAATGCATTCCTTGAAATGAGGGTAGCAGTGAATAACTTTACTATGCGGAAAGGTGGCCTCTCCCCAGCCGGCAGAGGATACAGTTATAAAACCCATCTGCGAGAGAGAACTGCACTCACGATACATACTCAGGAAAGGAATTTTCATCTATTTGTAAGTGAAAAACACTGATTGAGCTTTTGAAATTGAAAAACAGAACACTGATTTGCAGCTTTCTCATGAAAAGAATGCTAAACATGGCTAAAACCAGGCCAATCTTAAATGGTATAAGACCCCAAGGGATTATTTTTTCCTGTTCTAGCTCCCTGATGTGTGTAAATCAAAATTTGTGACCACGAGTGAACACATTTTACTAAGCTATGCACAGAAGGAGCCACGATGGTGTCAGGGACAGCGGCCCTTGGGAGGGAGCTGGTGCTGCAGTGAGCTCTGAGGGCCAGGTCACAGCCCCCCAGAGGGCTGCTCACACGTCTGCCACACCCATTTCACCATGTGAGGGAGGGAATCGGCCTGGAAATTCCCAATGTCTACATAAAGTTCACTGTATTTAGGAGAAAAAAAATGTGACTCCTGTTGACTAGTGGATGGTGCATAGGCCTTTTCCAAGGAATCACGTGTTTCTCTGTAGGAAACTGAAAATGAAACAGGCCTAATTGTTACGCAACATCAATTGTGCAAAACAGCTGCCCCAGCCTTCTTGTTTGTGCAATAGTGTAGCAACGGCTGCTACATAACACGCAAAAGGGAAGAAGGATATCCAGCTGTGCTCCTCGGCCATCCTAGTCCCAGTGCAGAGAGCCTTGGCGTGGCCAAGTACCCAGTCCATGAGCAGGCCCCACTGCCTGTACCGGATTCCATGCCCTGGGCCTTGAAGGGAAAGCATGGCCCGCCCCCAATGCCCCAGCTCACCGCTCCAGGCCGTGGCTTGGGTACCGGGCCGTTGTAGCGCACCCACTTGGTGTGGGACTGCTCCACCGTGGCGCTCTGCATGTACTTCCCGTGGGAGAAGACCTCCTCGGCTGTGGACAGGTTGTAGGCGCACACTGCCGACAGCCCCACGTTGTTCCTGGGGAGGGGAAAGAGGTGATGGGACCTCCTGGCGGGCATCGAGGCAGCAAGGAGGGAGACTCCCCCCAGAGCACTTACAGCTGTGGGGTGAAGAGTGCGTAGAACACAGGCACCTTCAGGCCCGGGGACCTGAGCACGAAGACGTCCCGCAGCACATTGAAGACCAAGCTGCTGTCTGGCCGGGAGCAGATGAGTCGGGCTTTCAGGAAGGAGGTCCATTTCTTCTGCAAGGTCCTCAGGCCGCCCTGGTCCCCCTAAAACCCCAACAACAAGACGTGGTGGGCCGAGAGCAGATCCCCTGTGGGCAGGCACTGAGGTCAGAGGTGCACCCTCCATGGCCCAGCGCAATGCAGCCGTGCCTGACGGAAACAAAGCTCAGGCCACAGGGCACAGAGGCCGCAGTGATGCGTGTGGCCCGCAGCACCGCACCCAGGTTCCAGCTTGGATCCCAGAATGCTCCCGGGTTAACACACAAAACAAAAAGGACAGAAGCCCTCTCACCGAAAGCTCCTTTGACCGTCCGTGCCTACCTGTGCCCAGCGCTCAGTCCTGCAACCGCAGAGGCGCCGCCACGCCCACACACTTCCAACTGCCAAGGCCCCTGGCATTGTGTGGCTTTCCTGACACAGGACCCATCAATGAACACGCTCTGGGTGGGGCAGGTGGCAGCAGCCTCCTTCCAGGGGACAGCCACCAGCCCTGCAGCCTGTCTTGGGCAAATGTGTGAACCTTCCTCCATTTGAGGGAACAGAGCCTTCACTTCCTTTCTACCCAAAGTATCTGCTAAAGTGCTTTGAGCCTACTAAGTTCTTTATAAACGCTTTTCAGGGATCCAATAACCAAGACACAATTATAAACTACGCATGACTGTGTGTGGTCTGGAGAGAAATACTGAAATCACGAAACCTGAGGCAGAAGAATGTGAGATAGAAGCAGCCTTACTTATTTTGGACACAGGGAAAATGTTCCCTCTTCATCTCTGCTGTGTGACTACAGCAGCCCAAATTCTCTTTTTGATAAAAGGACTTCATTTTCCTCCTTGATGTTTTAGCAAAGAATAATTTCCAGCGCATTTCTCGTCAGGGTTTCATTTGGCTTTCAGGTCATGGGCAGCAGGTGAAGCGTTCATGTGTGCCTGGGCGGTAGGCAGGAGCTATGGGGGCTAAGCTCAAACCACCCCAGTCCAGGAGCTCAAACAATCGTGGGGGAAAATGCGATCAGTGGGGACAACAGCAGTGTGCCTACGACTTGCAGAGGCTTGTGAGGGGTCACGGTGGCTGCACTGTGCATCACTGGATCTGCTCACTGATCCCGCTGCAAACCCTCAGTGCTGGGTAATAAGTCAAGGTCAAGGCAAGTCTGATCCTTGGCTTCCCAATGGCAGGGGAGGGCTCGAGTCCCCTGGCCAGTGCTGCTCTGAGGGCATTCTGAGCACTTCGCACACCTGCCAAGAGCCCTGGAACTGCAGCACCCTCCCCATCTCAAGGGGCACTGGCTTGCCCCCGACACTCACACTGTTGATAGGATGGTTTCCTGGTCTGTGAGACAGGAGCATGGCAGCGATGGTTGGGGGATAGCCGGAAGATATGGTCAGTGAGCCCTGGCTACAGAAGGCCTGGGCAGCTAGCAAAGCAGGAGGTGGATACTCAGGTGTGTGCATCACCCACCTTCTTCCTTATGCAATGGTTGTTAAGGGAACAGTGTCGAAAGCACTCACTTTTGTGCGCCATAAGCATGAAAGGAACCCTGCTTCTCTGATGTCCTGATGGTCATCACTAGATGAAAAAGGGCCATGCAGGAACTGTCTACCAATTTCCACAAGAGATGAATGGCTACCTGCTTCGAGATGAGCGCCCGGCCAGGGACACGGCGGCTGTGTCTCATGTGGTTTCCCCCAGCTCCCGAGACCTGTCAATTCACCTCCCAGAAACTGCCACTGAGCAACCTTGAGATTTCCTAGAATCAAGCCCACAGGCCGCTCTCCTGTGCGGAGCACTGTGCCTACAGTGTGTCATTTTAAAGGCAATCCCCCTCTACTTTTTAGATACTTAAAGATTTGTGTTTTGACAAACTTTGGTATTGGATGTCTCTCCTTAATCTTAAGCCATCGGTTAATGTTTCACTCTTAGGTAGATTAAGAGACAAATGGTGAAATTCCAACAGACTCTGCTGAATACATTCCACAAAGCCTTGCTTTTCATAAGCTGAGGAGGTTTGAAGAGGGTACGTTAAAAGACAGAACCTCCTGAGAACAGGAGGCTAATGAGTCACACATGGGGGCCCTCGGTCCCCATAACTCTCTCACTCCTTCGGTCCCCATAACCACCAGAACTCTCACTCCCTCGGTCCCCATAACCACCAGAAATAAGATCCATTGAGAGCCGCATCTGAGGCCCAAGGGAATAAAGTGCTAGGGAAAGTGACATTTCAGACAAAGGTCAGGAGCCACCCATCATCAAGGCACACTACTGCCATGGCAGGGGCCAAGCGAAGCCAGAGTGCCTGGCACTCACCTTGCACACTCTTGCTATCCGTGGGATCAGCACCCTGAACACAAACTCATACTCCACAGACACCTCTGTGAAGAAGAAGTAGACCCTGTCATCCTCACCGTCGGGGCTGTCTGGGCTTTTTCGAATCACGTCGGCAAACACAAAACTAGGCTCTGCAGAGAGAGGACAGTGATTATCCCGGAACACAGAGCTGGGGGCCTGCCTGTACCCGCGAGGTCACGAGGCCAGCCTGCACTGCCTTGGGGGCCTGAGGGCTTCCCTGCAAGGATGTCTGGAGTGTGCACATGCCACAGCCCAAGCAGAAACTCCAGGGTCCGCGGATGAGGACAGCACTGAGCCCAGAGGGTGCCTTACCCCCACCTCCTCGGCCTCAGAGAGGTGCCCCCAGCGGTGGTTCTGCAGTGCATTCCACCCAGGCCCACCCAAAGAACTGAGGCTGGGCCTCCTGACTGGAAGGCAGGGAGCCAGATCGTACCAGCATCCGAGACCTATGTAAGGTATGCATTTGCTGGTTTAAACAACACATGCTTCAAATCAACAAACTCTAACCACCAGATCCTGCCCCACCCCGAGGAAGAGCCGAGTGTCCCTGAATCTTGGGTCTTGGGATCTGCCCTGAGGTCAAGGGGTTCAAATCCCAGGGCTCTACTGGCTGGCATCCACAAGAAAAGGCTCCATGAACAGCCACCAGCTTCTCCCTGCACATTGAAGACGGACATCAGACACGTGCCACTGGCAGCAACAAGGCACCCAGAGCCCAAATGACCAGGCACTAGAGGCTGGGCCTGGAGGCAGGGCCCACACCAGTGTTGGCACCACACTTTAATACCACTCTGGAAATTACACCATGTCCCCATCTGATTAGTTTGAGTTTGCCATTTACTATCAGATTCTCACTTTTATGACAGTCTCCCAAATCCATTTTTGGGGGGTTGGTGGTGAGCCATCTTAAGACAGTTAGCAGAGAGAACACCAAACAAGGTGTCCTGGGACTCTGGCCATTGCTGGGCAGTTTGGGAAGTGTCCCCCACAAACACGGGCTGACATAAGCTGGGGGGCCCCCAGGGCTCAGAGACAGCAAAAGGAGAGATCAACGGGTGTGTGCTCATGAGGGGACATGCACCTCCCACTACGGTGCACTGCCCCTCCTTACCGTTCAGCCAAGGGATTGCGTATTCCGTCCTCAGAGGACTGTGGGAAGAATTTCGGGAGATGATGGGTTCACTTCCCAAAAAATTATACGACGTCCCTGAATAAAGTTCTCCATCTGCAGGGGCCCAGGAGAAAAGAGGAAAAGGGAACCAACCTCTCAGGCTATGGCACCAGCACTGGGAAAAACATTCAATACAGTGTTTTCCTTTATAACCCAATTAAGTGCCCCCAGGGAAGCGGAAAGACAGTCTACTCAACTTTTGGGGTGTCCTGTGTCTTCTAGTTATTTCTTTTTCGAGATGAGGTTTTTTGTTTTGTTTTGTTTGTTTTGAGACGGAGTCTCACTCTGTCACCCAAGCTGGAGTGCAGTGGTATGATCTCACTGCCACGTCCGCCTCCCAGTTCAAGCGATTCTCCCGCCTCAGTCTCCCAAGTAGCTTGGACTACAGGCACGCACCACCATGTCTGGCTAATTTTTATATTTTTTTGGTAGAGATGGGGTTTCACCCTGTTGGCCAGCTGGTCTCGAACTCTTGACCTCAAGTGATCCAGGCGTGAGCCACCGCACCTGGCTTGAGATGAGTTCTTGCTGTTTCCCAGGCTGGTCTCAAACTCCTATCCTCCTGCCTGAGCCTCCCAAGTAGCTAGGACCACAGGCGTGCTCTCACTTTGATGGGAATAATTTTATGCTCCATGTTTAGCTGCATTTTAAGAGTCATGGGGCAATAAGTCAACATGAGCAAGTAATTCCCGCAGCCAGGAAAATGCTGGCAGATGCAACAGTGGGTGCACACGAGGCTATGACCACTTGCTCAGGGGTGCAAGACCACCGCAGACAGCATGTGGCTCAGTCAAAACCTTACTCTCAAACAGGAGCATTTGCTCAGCATGAGGGGATTATCCAAATGACATGAGCCAGCAATAGATACAAAGTGACATTTACCATGGAGGCTACTATCCTTGCAAACAATGAATTCAAAAGTTAAAGGGTCTATGCAGTCACATGTGCCTTTTGTAAGGATAGCTCCCATTTAAACAAAGCCAAGAAAGACAGCACTTCAGAGAAGATTCAAATATCCCGTTTGGTAATTAACATGCCACTATAATCTTCAGGGTGAAGGAACCGGAGGGGCAGGACTCACCAACCATGACGGATGTGTAGCTGTGCGCTGGATCAAAGGGACATCTTCCTTTGCCATCTTCGTTTTTCCCCAGAAACTTAAAGGATGTTAAGTTCTACAATTGAATAAAAAGAAAGCACATCATCAGATGGCTGAATTTCTGTAGTAATACTGAGTCTTTGTACCATTTCATTTTACAAATTTGCTATTCTCAGAAGACCAACAGGACCAAGAAGATGGGTGTAGAAGCTGTGGCCAAGCTTCTCAAGATCTCAGACCCTCAATTTACTCATCTGCAAAATAGAAATGGCAATGCTGATGGCTCTAGGGCTGGAAAGCCACCAGGACAAACCAAATACAGGACCTGCTCAGTATGTGATCGGAAGCCCATGAGCAGAACTTTAACATCAATAAAGATGGCATTCTAAGCAGCTAGGTGACCCAATAAATAGGAAACAGAAAAACATAAACGGGCAGAATCCCTACCTCACTCCACCCATCAAAACGCATTCTGGATGGATCAACGATCTGAATACTAAAACAGAACCGCACTGTACTAAAACAAAGCAGTGGCTGGCGTTTCCATCTGGGGGTCATCTCTTTACCTGGCCAGAGTGCCCACAGCCACATGAGGAAAAAAATGCACAGAGCAAACCACAGAGAGAACTGGAAAGTTCCACACAGGGAAATAACACAGCAAGGTTAAATAGGTGACGAACTGGGGGGAATGCCAACAGAATGGCAGATGAGGTGTCTCCATCCCTGAACATGTGAGAAGTGTGGACAAATGAGTGAGAAAGGGCATCCAGGACAAAAACAGGCAAAACCCAACAAGTGACAGAAGAAACTCATCTGGACAGCACAGACGAGAGAGGGGCTGAGCCTGCCGGGAACCAGAGAGCACACAGAACACACGTGGGGATGCCACTTGGCAGCCAATAGCCTGGGGATGCTGAAGAAGACAGGTAGGGCCCACCGCAGGGTGAGGGCACCCAGCACCTCTGCCGCAGGAGGCTGGCTGGAAACATGCTCTCGGAAGCAGAGCGGGAAGGCTCAGACCACGTGGAAGGCCACAGCTGACACCTCTGAAAGGCCAGTTAAAGCAGCATACGGTTCTTCACCTGTTAGGTTAGGAAATGTGAACCCCACTGGATATGACCATTTATCATACCTTGAAAGGAGGTTTGGGGGCTGTTGGGAAAATCTGAACAGGGACTGGAGACAGGATGATACTGGGGAATGATTGAACATTTTCTTAGCTATAATGACAAAACTGGAGTTACGTAAGAAAATGTCACTATTCTTAGGAGATGCCTGTGAAGGCATTTGGGAGTCACGGGTCATAGTTCAGCAGGAACACATACGTGCACACACAGACACACATGTAGACACAGACATGCACAGGCACACAGACATGTGCACACACACACTCCCAATTGTGCAATCTAGGTTGCCAGGATACACAAGTGATACATCTTTTCTGCAGCTGTGAAAACTTTTATTAAAAATATTAGGAAAAATTGGTGGGGCATGGTAGCTCACGGCTGTAATCCCCGAAATTTGGGAGGCCAAGGCGGGTGGATCACCTGAGGTCAGGAGTTCGAGACCAGCCTGACCAACATGGAGAAACCCCATCTCTACTAAAAATACAAAATTAGCCAGGCGTGGTGGTACATGCCTGTAATCCCAGCTACTTGGGAGGCTGAGGCAGCAGAATCCCTTGAACCCCGGAGATGGAGGTTGCAGTGAGCCAAGATCGTGCCATTCTACTCTAGCCTGGGCAACAAGAGTGAAACTCTGTCTCAAAAAAAAAAAAATTAGGAAAAATTATAGGTCTAAATTTAAACCAAATACAGTATCCTCTAATCTCAACAACTAACCTGTCCATAGAATGTAAGTTTAAATGACAGAACTTTAAGCTTCTGATTGAGTTTAGCCAGAAAAATCCCTTGTTGTGCAAAATGTTTCTGGTCCAACTGCACTTTGGGCACAAAAGCAAACACAAACGACTGTCTCTGAAGACTGAAGGTCTTACCATCCCCAAAGCACCCCCACCCCCTATCCGCTTTCGTTGCCAGCATCTGTGGTACAGGCAGCTGGGTAGACCCCGACTACGAATCTCACCCCAGACGTCTGTGTGCAAATACCAGGCTTCCTTATCTAGTCTCTAATGAGGCCATACGTTGTCTTGTCATTTATCTCTGACTCAAGATTGGAAAATATTTTAATTCCAATTAATTTAGGGTTCTAGCAAATGATGCTTTTCACTGTGGCATATTTTACATTTATCAGGACTCATTAAAATCCAGGGACACACAGTAGAAAATGTGCTTCATTTTCCATGTATTCCACTTATTTAAAATGCTACTTCTCCCTCTCTGATGATCATCACATTGCTCATCAGATTATCTGGATAGAAAGGACCCTCACACAGCGGGAGGTGCCAGACACCAGGCTGGGCAGTCAAGGATGTGACCCGGTGAGGGACACAGGCCGGACTTGCTTCTCGAGGAGCTCAGCACACTTGACCTGCTGCCCCTCAGTGGGTGGACCCAGGAGTGGTTCAGTGAGCAGGCTGCACACCACAGTCGACCCGAAGGGGGGCTCCCACAGCCAGAGCACGGGTGCACCAACCAAGAGCACACAAGCCAGGAGAAAGTCCTGACTTTTCCACCTGACCCAGATGCCCAGAGCTGCCAGGCTGTCTGTCCTTCCCAGCACACCCCCCCATGGCATGTCCAGGCTGTCTGTCCTTCCCAGCACACCCCGCCATGGCACGTTCAGGCCATGGCATGTCCAGGCTGTCTGTCCTTCCCAGCACACCCCGCCATGGCACGTTCAGGCTGTCTGTCCTTCCCAGCACGCCCTTCATGCATGTTCAGGCTGTCTGTCCCTTCCCAGCACACCCCCCGCCATGGCATGGGCTCAGGCTGTCTGTCCTTCCCAGCACACCCCGCCATGGCACGTTCAGGCTGTCTGTCCTTCCCAACACGCCCCTTCATGGCATGTTCAGGCTGGGTCTGTCCTTCCCACACTCCCCCATGGCATGGCCCCAGGCTGTCTGTCCTTCCCAGCACACCACCCCCATGGCATGTCCAGGCTACCAGTCCTTCCCAGCACACCCCCTCATGTGCATGTTCAGGCTGTCTGTCCTTCCCAGCAATGCCTTCTATGGCATGTTCAGGCTGTCTGTCCTTCCCAGCACGCCCCTTCATGGCATGCTCTGCGCTAGCACCAAGGGCTCCCAGCACCTTGAGCTGCACCCCAGGCCTCGCCCTTGACCATGGACACCGAAACTTAGAGGAGCCAAGTGGGCTGTGTGCCCCTGACAGCAGCCGTACAAGGCTTTCAGAGGGGCCACAAGCTGCCTCCGTTTTCTGCAGCTGGCTCTGAGGAAATCCTATTGTGTTTTAGGGTGGAGACAGTTTTATGCCTGCTTTGAATCCCCTTCTACTTTAACTGTTGACCAGGCTGGCGTGAGCACAGGGAGGTGCCCATCAGCCTTACCAGGTGGTCACAGGCCGGCTGGAATGCGTTGGTCCCACACACGTAAAGGGAAGTGGCGCTGAGCGGCTGCAGCACCCGGATGTAGTTGAGGCACTCTGTCTGCAGGGAAGAGAAATGTACCATTAGCAACCGTCCAGCCCAGACGCCATCCACTATTCAAACTGCTACCTCGTTCATCTCAGGGGCACAGACCCACATTCACCAACACCAGCTCACACGTGGCCCCAGGCCAACGAGACGTGTGTGCATTCTCAGCCTTGTCTTGTCATCTAGACCCTCTGCAGCTCCTCTTCACACACTGGCCTGTTCCCGTACAGTGGGAGGTTCACTGAGACCCCAACCCCACCCCTAGGCAAACCTAAAGCTGAAAGTGGCCTGAGTAATTGTGTCTCTGCAGTGTCCACAGGCTGTTCAGGTGCCAAGCAGGATTTTGTTTCAGTCCCTAATTGATACTCAGCAAAGATGTGGTGACTGAAAAAAAAACTCAATGAATGCTTACCTCAAATCTTACTGGGACACCCACTGTTGAGAGCAATATATTTCACTCTTGCTAAGTACATGGACCACTTGTTCTGTTGCCAGGCCTGGAGCAGTGTCTACCCTACAGAATTTCCTCTTTGTTTCTGGAGACCCCACCCTGCCTCCCACTTGCACAGAACTAGGAACAGTGATTCTAGGTCTACCCAACCCAGGGTCCCATTCCAGCCCCCAGGGGAGAGGCTAAACTAGGAGAGCCTGGAGCCTGGCTTGGCATCAGAAAGGCCCAAGCAGGAAAACAAAGATACCATTTCAGAACTCACTATTTTAAGCTAAAAGTACTTGCATTACATGTGCTATATAGTCTGAAATTATCCCAGATTAGGAGATCTCTTTTTGCTTGACTGTTTTTTAAAGTGGTTGGAAGTAATTCACTATTCACCCCAACGCACCTGCACAGCCCCGGAAACAGGAGCTACACTGCGCTGCCTGCTTTTCCTCTCATTTCCTAAACTAACTTTGGATTTAGAGACAAACACTTCAGTGCAAGTGTTTGGCATTTTGCTAAGAAAGTTTAGCAAAGACTTCCTTGGGTTTTCTTTCTTTTCTTGCCGTTAACTCAGCTTGTCTTGACCGTCACTGGGGAAGACTACCCAACGCCACGCAGGGACATGACGGCTCAGAGGGTGGCGAGGACAACCTAGAGCTGCAGACGGGAATGAGCACTCGGTCCAGGGCTCCCTGAATGAGCACCACACCGAGAGGCCTGAGGGACCAAAGGGACGGACGTGTGCCAAGAATCCAAAAGTCCCAGTGATAGAGAAAGGAGCCAGAGAAAGTCTAGGCAGACAGGGGCAGGTCCCTGGCAAAACCCCACCTGCGAGTCAAAAGGCCTAAAACCTGCGGCCCAGTGAGAACTTCTATCCCTGTTTTCCCGCTCTCTCCTGATTGATTCTTTCTGAATAATATCTTTTTACAATGAAATGTGGCCTTTTCCAAAACCACCTACAGCCTACCCTGCCCCTCATCCTGTGCCTATAAAGACCCCAGACTCAGCTGGTGGAGAAGAGAAGGTGCTGGACTAGAGAGAGGCGACTTGACTTCAGAGGGATGGCTGGACTTTGGAGAAATGGCTTAACTTTGGAGAAGAGCTGGCCTGAGCCGGCCAGACTTCAGGGAAGATTATTTGCTCGTTCCGTTCCCTCTCCAGCTCCCCTCTCTGCTGACAGCCACTTCCATCGCTAAACAAAATTATCTGACTCCACCAGCATTCAAGGGTCCATGCGACCTCATTCTTCTTGGATGCTGGACAAGAGCTCAGGACCCTGAGTGTGTGTACCCAGAAAAGGCTGTCATACTGGCCCTTTGCCCTCACTGGCAGAGGGCAACTGTCCCATGCAATGAGGCAAGGGGCCCACTGAGCTTATAACACGCCACTGTCCATGGAGAGCAGAGATAAAAGAGCACTGTAACATGCCCTCTGGGGTTGGCGGGGGTCACAGGCACCCCACCCTGGGTGCCACCAGCAGGGCCCACACAAAGCCTGCTCCTGCTGGCACCCATAACAGCTGGCCAGATCCCACACTCGCTCGCTCACGTGCTCCCTCCTGCAAGAAGTTGAGCACAGCAGGCCGAATAAATGGGGGACCTCTGTCGCAAGTCCAATGAAGGGGTTGAGAAAAACTGCATGACTAGCAACTCCTCCAAACCAAGGCCTCTGGGTGCAGGGAAGCAGAACAAACCCTGAACTGCTACACCATTCACCAGTGGGCTTCAGAAGTCGTGTTCTGTAGTCAAAGTTTCAGGCTATCTGAATACATTCAATTCATATAAACTTTTAAAAAGTATTTCTCAAAGGCCAGCTATGTTTGGCACCTGATTTGAGAAACCCAATCCCGATACTCAGGAATAGAGGGATAAGCTCCAAGATGCATCACAACAAAACCAAGCCCAGGAGAATGAACAGAGCCTGGAGAAAAGGCAGGCCTGCACTGCAGGAATCCTGGCATTCAGTGGATTAAACCAACCAAGAAATACTTGAATGGGATTTTTTGTAGCTTGCAAAAGAAATTACCTGTTTTGATTTCCCCTTTTCTGCACATTTTGCTTTTTTGTCTTCTGAGACCTTCCAATACACCTGTTGGGAGAGAGTCCACTTCAGTGCATATTCTTTTAAAGAGATACTAGTATGAAAATGCACAAATTTAAAAGCACATGATAGAGTTTAGAGCCTAGAGGTTTCTCCTGAGAGGATCAATTCTCAGACTGCAAAGGAAGTTCAGAGAGCAGGGGAGCGGCCTGGGCCCTTCAGAACATCCTCACTGTGATCCTTATCCTGAAACCCGTGGAGTCTGGAAAACCAGCTCCAAAATTTCCATCACTTACCATAAAACAGCAGCAAAAATCAAGCTAGTGAAAGTGGAGAAAATAAAACTGTCAAAAACCTAAACCGTAAGTATTTTCAAACATCAAAGTGGGCTTTTTTTTTTTTTTTTTTTTTTTTTGAGACGGAGTCTCGCTCTTTTGCCCAGGCTGGAGTGCAGTAGCGCAATCTTGGCTCACTGCAAGCCCCGCCTCCCAGGTTCACGCCATTCTCCTGCCTCAGCCTCCCAAGTAGCTGGGACTACAGGCGCCCACCGCCACGCCCGGCTAGTTTTTTGTATTTTTAGTAGAGACGGGGTTTCACCGTGTTAGCCAGGATGGTCTCGATCTCCTGACCTCATGATCCGCTCACCTCAGCCTCCCAAAGTACTGGGATTACAGGCATGAGCCACTGCGCCCAGCCCCAAAGTGGGCTTTTTTCCATCCATTCAAAGTGACTCTACAGGCCAGGTGTGGTGGCTCACACCTGTGATCCCAGCACTTTGGGAGGCTGAGGCAGGCGGATCATCTGAGGTCAGGAGTTCGAGACCAGCCTGGCCAACATGGTGAAACTCCGTCTTTACTAAAAATACAAAAATTATTTGGGAGTGGTGGCATGCGCCTGTAATCCCAGCTACTCAGGAGGCTGAGGCAGGAGAATCTCTTGAACTCAGGAGGCAAAGGTTGCAGTGAGCTGAGATCGCACCACTGCACTCCAGCCTTATGTGCCTAGGCAACAGAGTGAGACTCCATCTCAAAAAAAAAAAAAAAGGGGGACTCTACAGTCCATTTAAAAAAAAAAAAAAAGCCTCAATATTCACTGTATCAGTGGAAAGGGAGAATTACAACTCCTTAAACTTGCCTGTCAGCAGCAGGAGGAAGTGATGAACTAACACCACCAGCTCAGCTCAGGCACCGTCTTAGTAAGATCCACTAAGTTTGAAAGAAGAGGATCTTAGTAAGATCCACGGTTTGAAAGAAGAGGTTCCTACCACCTCTTCTTTCAAACCAGGGACAATTCGTGATCACAAACTGCCAGGGGGTGGGGGTCTTAGCCCCTTGCCCTCCAAAGCCCCCACAGGATAGAAAGACAAAAGGAAAAGAACGGAGGCTTCTATATCTATCCCTGCCGCACCTTCCACAAAATGCCCCATCTCTCTGTGTGACGTTCCATAACTAAGACAAAAGAAACCAGTAACCATTCATTTTTCTCCACCAAGAGGCTTGTAGTGGGTGTCAGGACTCAGAGGTTAGGAAGCAGAGGTTAGGGCTTCTAGGAGGGAGAGTATGAGGAGAGGAACCCCACTTTAGGTTTCTAACTAACTCAGTGGCTTCCTGCACAGTACCCAGGCAGCAGACACAGTACTAAGGGAGTGTCATTTCATAGCAGTGGAAGTCCTGATGGGGTACACAAAAGCGGAACAGAGTCCCATTTAAAATAGCAACTTCCTTCAGCATTTAAAGTACACATGATTTCATCAACTCGCAGGAAATGCATAAGGACAAGGGAACGTACACTTCAACAGACCCTTGATCACGTTTGCAGGGATTTTCACTGATGGGGGTCCCTTTATTTTTTCTTTTAAGTATAAGAGGTCCCCAAGACTCTTCCCAACCCTGACGGACCACTATGGTGTCATTCACAGAGCAATGGCTGGCTGTCACTGAACACCTGTGGGGCCAGCACAAACACACTGTCCACATTTCCCCCAAGACTGAGTGTGAGTCTGTGTGGTCAGGAAGGCGCTCAGAGGAAGAGAATTTAACAGACACGCGAAGCGTAAGAGCTGAGTGAGGTGAGACCACCACATCCTTCTGCTCAGAGCGCCTCACAGTGCTAAATACTTTGTTTTTGTTTTTTTGAGACAGGGTCTCGCTCTGTTGCCCAGGCTGGACTGCAGTGGCATGATCTTAGCTCACTGCAGCCTCGACCTCCTGGGCTCAAGTGATCCTCCCACTTCAGACTCCCAAGCACCTCAGACTCCCAAGCAGCAGACTCCCAAGATCTGAGCCACTATGCCTGGCTATTTTTTGTAGTTTTTGTAGAGACGGGTTTCGCCGTGTTGCCCAGGCTGGTCTCGAACTCTTGAGCTCAAGTAATCCGTCTACCTCGGCCTCCCTACAGTGTTAAGATTACAAGGGTGAGTCACAGCACCCAGCCAAATACTTGTTTTCAGAGCATAATGCTCAGAGCTCATTTATGTGTCAGACAGAAATGGAGAAATAAGCTAGACCCTGGAGATGAAAACAAAAAGAGATCTGGGCAGAAAATGTCCAACAAGAACCTGGAACAGATTCCAGAGAGCGAGAAAATGACCCCACACCGCGAGGTCTCAGGAGCCAACCCAAACAGGCTGCTGTTGGCCGTGGATGCGACAATTTGAGCGTGCAGCAGGGATTTCACTGCGATGGGTCAAAGCAGAGCAAATATGTTTAAATCTATGGCTTCACTGTGACACGAAAAATCAATCAAAAAACTCATTCTTGCCCTTCAGAGGGGAAACTGACTCATTAACTCATTGAAAACTGGTAAACAAAGGCAAAGATTCCAAGCATCAATTCTGCATTTCCCAAAGGAACTGGGACCTCTACGGACCAAAAAAGCTGGTGATGGGCACTTCCCCTTTTATCCGATTTCCAGCTAGCAAGTGGAGAAAGAGAGGCAGCATCAGAATATTGCGTTTTGCAATCTTTGATGAGAAGAGGATCTAGATTTCGATGGTGAAAGGCCCCTGAGACTCAGGAGGAGGAACACCTGCCTCCATGGAGAAGCCCGCCTCTCATGGCCCCGAGTGGGGTGAGCCTGGACCTGAAACCCAGCTGGGGATGTGAAGACAGAGGTGCATGCTATAGATACCGTGAGTGGAACTGGGTGTGGTGGCACATACTTATATTCCCAGCAACTCAGGAGGCTGAGGCAAGAGGATCACTTGAGCCCAGGAATTTGAGGCCGCAGTGAGCTACAATCAAATTTTAAATTCAGTTTGATTTAAAAAAAATGTTTAAAGACACTGAGGACTCAGGAGCAATGTGAAGGGTGGGACATGGGATGGGCTGTGCAGAGTAGCCTTCTCAGGAAGGAAACCGAGGCTGGCTCCTAGAAGCGGAGACTGAATGGACAGGGTGACCAGCTGCAATGGATTGGGACAGTCTGGCTGCAACCTGACTCAACCTAAACATTTGAACCAACTAAACAAGCATCACCCACGAGAGAGTCGGTGAAATATGAACACTGGCTGAATGGATGATGACGTAAATTTTGGAGAAGCTATTTTTGGTTATTTGCATGACAAGGGGCCCTTTCTGATAAGAGATACCCAGATGAAGAATGTGGTGTCGGGATCTGCCTCAATGCCCCAGGAGGTGGAGGGCACTGTGGGCAGGACTGAACACCTGGCCTTGCATAAGTTGCAGTGGGTACAGGGTTCATGGAGTAGCTGTCTCTGCTCATAAGTACGTTTGAGATTTCTTCAGAATAAAAAGTTCAAAAACAAAAAAAAACAAGGTGGTCCCTGGGTGAACTGCTGGTGGACACCCAAACATGGGGCTGCATGGTCACAGCTACAGGACACAGGCTCCAGGTAAGTCAGCCCCCAGTCCCACGGTGGGGCCAGGAGGCTGCCCACTCAAGCCAGGCTGTGTGGACATGCAGGGGAGCCCAGGACGTACCTCATGCTGCTTCTCGGAGATGTTGAGTGCGTTCACAGCGAAGACCGCCTCCCGGGCGCCTATGTACAAGGTGTCCTTGTACTCGCTCAGCAGCAAGGCTGAGTAGTTGTAGATGTCCGGCTCGTGAAACTGCACCAGGCGCACCTCTGGGATGCAAGGGTAGGGTCAGAGCGGGAGGAAGAAAAGAGCGATGGAATCATTTTTAAACCTGGGCACATCCTAGGTCCCTGTCTCAGTGACAATGAGCACATCTGGGTGTAGTCATGTCTCGGAGGCCACGTGTTGCTGCAACAGGCACTGCTGCAGTGGAGGCGGCCTCAGTCAACGGCAGCCATCAAGTGTGCACACAGGAACCACAGCCCGAGCTCGAGCCCAGGGCTTGTGTGCTCACTTTGAGACTACGAGTCGGACATCCCTTCCTACTCCCTCACACCCCACAGAGTCCCAAACCCTGCTCTGCCAGGTGCTTCCTGTGATGGCTCCCACCCTCTGCCCACCCAACTCTGGTCTACACGCCTTGTCATCACCCTCCATCCATCTCACCCTCTGCCCACCCGCTCCCCAGGTCTACACGCCTTGTCATCACCCTCTGCCCCAACTCTGGTCTACCGCCTTGTCATCACCCTCTGCCCACCCAACTCCTGGTCTACACGCCTTGTCATCACCCTCTGCCCACCCAACTCTGGTCTCTACACGCCTTGTCTTCCCACCCTCTGCCCCACCCAACTCCTGGTCTACACGCCTTGTCATCCACAGATGGGGGCACAGAATACAATGATTTAGGATTTTCTTATTCAGAGTCATCACCCTCTGCCCACCCAACTCTGGTCTACACGCCTTGTCATCCACAGATGAGGTGCACAGGAATACAATGATTTAGGATTTTCTTATTCAGAAAAAGAATGTTTTACTTCAAAATCTTTACAAAATTTCTTTTGGAGAATATATCCATCAACCCACGCAATTCTCAGTGATCACCACCACCAACTTATAGACAGAGAAACAAGCAACGTCTCTTTGCTTATTAGGTTACTGTATCAATAGCTACTTAGGAATATGAAGATTTGAGCAATAGCTGCTTAAGAATAATATACATGTATCAGCATTATTTTTTTTAGGACCTGTTTCTTCAACTGTCTTGACAACAATTTGAGCATTCTGACCTTGGCTTTTTACATATTACCAAGAGTCTGCTTTATTTAAGAGTCAGGTGGGCCAGGTGTGGAGGCGGGCGCCTGTAGCCCCAGCACTTTGGGAGGCCAAGGTGGGAGGACTGCTTGCATCCAGGAGATCGAGGCTGCAGTAAGCTATGACTGTCCCACTGCACTCTAGCCTGGGCAACAGAGCTAGACCCTGACTTCGAGAAAAAACAAAGAGAGTCAGGCGTTCATGCTTTCTGTTCTAATTTTCCCATGTGGAAGAGAGATGCACACAGGCAGCAGGTCCTCTCTTGGCACAACAATGACCTATATTGCTGACAGCTCTTAGCCGCCTGCAAGCAACACCTTGTTCAGGACCCAGGGTATAAGCTCTCACTCCACTGAGTCAGAAACCCGGGTCCCCAGACACATCCCCCAAGAGAAGAAACAACTAAAACAAAAACTAAACAGCAGCAAAGGAAAGTAGCTGGCATGAGGCTCAGCTGCACGTAGGACCAGCGTCCTCATGATGCCCCACTGTTCTCAGGCGCCTGGGCAGACACTCAGCGGGGCAGGTGCTTTGGCAGCGCACCGCAAATGTTACCAGGTACGAGAGAGGGAAGCTTCCTGTCAGGGGTCCCCAAATTCAGAAACCAAATCAGGAGGTCTGCACGAGCCCTGCTGGGAATCTACAGTTGTCACAGCCTCTCCCTTAGATCAGCGGCATAGGCCTGTCTGCTCAGACAAAGTTCTCAGAGCAGAGAATCCAACAGATCACATATATTCTCCAAAAGCCACCTGCCTCAGCATCCTAGGCAGCGGGGTCCCCATCCCGTTCCCAGCCACCTGCCTCAGCATCCTGGGCAGTGGGGTCCCCGTCCTATCCCCAGCCACCTGCCTCCACATCCCAGGAAGTGGGGTCCCCATCCCGTCCCCAGCCACTCACCTCAGCATCTCAGGAAGTGGGGTCCCTGTCCCACCCCAGCCTCAGCACCCCAGGCAATGAGGTTCCCCAACCCATGCCATCAGCACCCCTGCAGGCTTCATCGCTCACCTCTGTGCTCCCAGGTGATCCGGGGTATGGGTGCAAAAGCCATCGCTGTCCCAAACATCACTGCAAGGGCCATGAGCAGCCCCCTAATGGGGATGCACATCCTCATCAGGTAGGGGCGACCCCAGGGGCTGCAGCAGCAAAGGCTCACGGCAGCAGGTGGCCGGGCAAGTGTGCTATTGCAGATGCGGCTCAGCGCCCCAGGACCAGGGCCAGCAGCACAGCCTGGAGCTGGTGAACAGCGCGGTCCCTGAGAATCCACATTTCCCAGTTCTCCAGGAGAGGAAGGGTCGCTGTCACCACCGCAGTGTCAGCGTCCACTGGATACTTCTTCAGGGCCTCAGAAGAAATGCTGGAAGGACATGGGAAAGAAAAGACAGGACCCGTGGTGAGTGATGACCCGTTTCTCACCGCTCTGTAGCCCCTCTGCTTGCCCTGGGTCCGCACCCGGGTCCATCTGCTGAGGAACATGGAAGGCGGCGGGGGACAAAGAGGGTCTCAGAAGTGGATAGCCCACACGGACACAGGAAAGTGAAGCCGGGGTCTTCAGGAGTCAGTGCTTCCCGCTCCTCCAGCTCCCAGCCCAGAACGCAGGAGAGACACACGGAGGGGACCTGGTGGGGGGCACCCGGCAGACACACATGGCCGGCTGGCTGCCCAGCTTCCTTCCTGTGTGGCTGCTGTGTCCAGCTGGTAATGAGATGAAAATGAAGGAAGAGAACTCAGGTTTCAGTTTCCCTTAGAGACTCTGCCTTTGTAACACTCAGTGAGGAAACGGCCAGAAAAACCAGAGGCTGCAGAGAGAGTTAAGATGTACATGTGAGTGCACACGCATGCACACACACAACCTATGCATACACATGTGCGCACACACGTGCATGGATGTACACCTGTACAAACACACGCACGTGAGGCCTCACCATGCAGGAGTGTCTGACCTCCTGCCCCAAATGGGACCCTGCTGGCTCTTCCAGTCTCACTTAAAGAAGTCTGTGCACCACAGAAACGGTGGTGACGTACTCGGATTTGCCCAGGAAGAAGTGGCCCTTAGTAAAAGAACAGGCTTAACGCTGCTTAGTGGAATTGTGGGGCTGGTGGTGGAGGAGGTGTCCACAGGCCTCCTGGCCCCATCTCTCATGTCCCCAACTTTCTCTGATGACTGCATGGCTCCTGTTCTGGTGTACCTTTGCTGGTCCCCACAGCCTAGCCCGCCACAGGACTGGCCCAAGGGGGTCTAGCACCTTGATCTGGGGCCAGCTGCACCCCTGGGTTCACTCTATGAGAAAGTTCTGAGCTGGGCCCAGTGACTGGGCACTTTCACATTACACTTCTATAAAAAGTTCACTCACAACAGCACCCTGGGACCCCTGAGTCCCTTGCTCCCCCTTCTATCCAGGAGTCCTGTGAGGGTCATGGAACAACCACACCCCTGAGCTCCAGACTCCAGAACCCCACTCCTCCCCACCACCTCTACATGCCACCTTCCACACCCAGCCAGACACAGCCGAAACGGAACCACACTCTGCTTCCGGCCAATTCCTGCAGTCCGTGTCCTCACCTAAAAAAAGCACCAGTAGTCAGGGGCCAACCACATCTACCTCTAACCCCATCCCCACCCCCAGTCCATAGACGGTGCTGCTGCTCAGCCTCAAACACATCTGGGGCTTGTCTCCTCCTGTCCATCTCCACCACCATCACTCATCTGAGCAATGCTCACCTCTCATCCTGGCATCTTCAGCAGCCTCCTACTCCCTTACCTCACTTTCGTTCTTGCTTCCGTGGTAGAGATCACTGGCTTCCTGCCCCAGCATCCATGTTCCTACACTCTCACTAACAGAATCCCGAGGTTACTTGGGTTGGCAGTGTGCCCAGCTCACTACATCTCCCAGCTTCTCTGGTGATAGTTCTGGCCAAAGAACTGTACGTGAATTTATTAGATGGCAATTCCAGGAAGGAGGCTGATTCAGCTAGCAATTCCCTCAGTCCTTCCTGCTGCTGCCTGGAACTAGAATGTGATGGCTGGAGCTCTGGCAGCCATGCTATGAACATGAAGATAAAAGTCTCATTCTAAGAATGGCCAAGTGAAACCCACAAGAGCCTGTGTGACCCTGATAACATAATGGAAACTTTGCACTTGCTTTCTGCTGTCCATTTATTAGCAAGTCTACATAGACTTTAAATTACTTGCTTGCAGAGTTTTGTTACCAACAAATACCATTCTAAACTGACACAACCTCCCTCCAATCCACTGCCACAAAGTAGCAGTGGTCAGAGTCATGCTCTTATCATAAATCAAATCATATCCTTTCCCCATGTGAAATGTTTCAACAGCTTCTCGTCACTCAGAACAAGGCCCACATTTTTCATCATAGCCAGCAAGGCCATGGACAACCCTGCTCCACCTCCATCCAACTGCTCCTCATCCACATTCCCTCCACTGCGCTGTCCTGGCTACACGTGAACACAGAGCTCGGCCCCTCTGCAAGGCTGTGCAACAGCTGTCTCTCCTGCCTGTCAACACCACTTAGAACATTTCCAGATGTGTCTGTTCTGAAGTTGCCGGTCTAAATCCCACTGCACAGTCTCATTCATCTAAGAGGCTTTTCCTCTGTATAACTGATCGGTAATTAGCAGTGGCTCCCAAAAGCTGCTCCACTTTGAGCTCCCAAACCAGCTTCTACACAGGCTCCCAATGAAGAAGACTCAACAAATTATAGGCTCAGCTCTTCTGAATTCCAGGCACATTTGCAGTTCCTTGCCATAATGGTGTCACTTTTTGTTTGCAAACCAGAAGTAGACCTACTTGGCCTACAAAGTTGTTGTGAGAAATATCTGCTAAATGATTATTGAGCAGAAAATCATATTAATATATAATTAATCAATTAGCATCCGATAATAATATTTATTATAGTAATAATGTTATTGCTCTGACAAATACAAATGGAGCTCATGCTACGTCTGGAACAAACCAGTCCTGGCCCCACGGAACCCACATCCTGGAGTGGGACTGTGTGAAAGCAACCAGCCCAGGGCCTGGCACACAGAAACATCCTATGCCCCTCCAGGGTCCTGCTGCCCTTGCTCTTCTCAGTCCTCATTGCATGCGACGACATGGGAAAGGATGGTAACAGTGGTGACAAGCTGTCCACAGTCCCTCAAGAGAAAAGCTCCCATTAAAAACCATCCACTCCTCCTTTTGGAGCAATGATCCCCTGGTATTTTCAGGATGCTTTCTTTCTCCCGTTCCGTGTGACAAACGTCACACAGCCAGTGAGAGCCAGAAGTGACAACGTGGCCAGGCTGCCCCATCCCTTAAAGCAGAAGAGGACGGCACACTCGCACCGTGAGAGACTTTACGCTGGCTCCCGCACCACCGGAGGAGGAGGAGGAGGAGGCAAGCCTGCGGCAGGCAGGGTCTCAGAGAGGGTTCTAGTCATACATGCAGCAAGGACACCAGTGGCCTGGTCCATGTGCTGCAGTCCCAGCCCAGTGAAACCCAATGAACTGACACTAGCTCCTCCAAGCCACACCTAGCCCCAGTTCCCAGCCAATGCCAAGCTGTGCACAGCAAGGATAAAGCAGAAGCACCCGCCCTGGTGGCATGTCCCCCAGCTGGGCAAAGGTCCATACACACAAAAGAAACAGCAATGAGCTGCCAGGGGACGGGAGAAGGCACTCTGAAGACGGATGCGGAGGCTGCAGAGATAAGGCGTGCCAACCACACAGGAAGGCAGCAGTGGGGACAGCCCAGGGGCAGGCGAGTGGGTATACAAACCGCAACATCCAGACAGGGGAATGTTACTCAGCATTAAAAATAAATGAGCCATTAGGCCATGAAAAGACACGGAGGAACTTTAAAAGCTTATCATTAAAGTCAATCTGTAAAAGTACATACTGCGTGATCCCAACTATAGGACATTCTGGGAAAGGCAAAACCATGAAGACAGTAAAAAGATCAGTGGTTCCCAGGGGTTGGGGGGAGACCACAGTGGACACATGTCAGTATGCATTTGTCCAAGCCTACAGAACGTACAACACCAACTGGCAATCCTAATGTCCAGGTACAGATGTCGGGTGATAAGGTACCTATGTGGGTTCACTGACTGTAGCAAAGGCATCACTCTGGGGTGATTCTGAAAGTGAGGGGGCTGTGTATGTGTGGGGAAGGAGCGTATGGGAAATCTCTGTACCACCTTCTCAATGTTTCTATGAACCTAAAACTGATCTAAACAATAAAGTCTATTAAAATCAGTAACAACAAGGAACAGGCCTAGGAGTTCCTTGCCAGTCACAAAAGAAGCCTCTGTTAGGGTTTGTGGCCTGGACACGTTAAGGAGGTGAGTGTCCACACCAGAGGGCTGGGAGCAGAGACGCAAGGCCCACAGGACCCAGTTCATTCCACGTCAAATACCAAAGATGCTGGGTCACTATTGGAGAGATACGGTTTGCATAGGATCTAATTCCTATCTAGATCCCCAACTGCAGTCAGTCCTCTGCGTATCCCAATAAGCACGCTACGGGCAGGCCAGGCTAAGAGTCCAGAGCCAGGAGATGGGAGAACACAGAGGTTTATCTCAACTCTCTCTGGAAACCCAGTGAAATGACTCTAAAAGGATATGAACTTTAAGGATAAAAATGGAGGGAGGAGGTGACTTTGGTATCTATTAATAGGTGAGTAGTAACCAATGGTGTGCTGGCAAGCTGTTACTACTGGCTCTCCACAGGGTGGGCAGTGGGGGTGGGTGGTGGGGTAAGGTGGGGGGTGCTCAGCTTGTAGCACATGCTGATTTCTTTGGTGTAAATGTTGCTTTCGAGCTCCCAGAATGATGCTGTTGAACTGGGGAGAGGTGCACAGCAGCACCCAGCACACAGTGCTGCCACCTCAGATACAAGAGACGAGTAACCGCAACCACACAGATAACAGCAGAATGCACACGATACTAGAAAGGAATGAGTTCTGAGTATTTTACCTCTTTAAATATAATTTGTTTCATTTTAAGTCCATATATTTAATTTTTAACAGTGGCTGTTACCACTGTTAAAAATTACCACCAGCCCTGTCACACCCCCAGCCCTGTCACAAACCCAGCCCTGTCACATCCCCAGCCCTGTCACACCCCCAGCCCTGTCACACACCCAGCCCTGTCACACACCCCCATCACACACGCAGCCCTGTCACACACGCAGCCCTGTCACACACCCCGTCACACACGCAGCCCTGTCACACACCCAGCCCTGTCACACACCCAGCCCTGTCACACACGCCCAGCCCTGTCACACACCCCGTCACACACGCAGCCCTGTCACACACGCAGCCCTGTCACACACCCAGCCCTGTCACACACGCCCAGCCTTGTCACACACCCAGCCCTGTCACACACCCCGTCACACACCCAGCCCTGTCACACACCCAGCCCTGTCACACACCCGTCACACACAGCCCTGTCACACACGCAGCCTGTCACACACCCAGCCCTGTCACACACGCAGCCCTGTCCACACACCCAGCCTGTCACACCGTCACACCCAGCCCTGTCACACACGCAGCCCATGCCCTGTCCACACCCAGCCCTGTCTCGCAGCCTGTCACACACCCAGCCCTGTCACACACCCCCCCGTCACACACCCAGCCCCGTCACACACCCAGCCCTGTCACACACCCCGTCACACACCCAGCCCTGTCACACGCCCCGTCACACACCCAGCCCTGTCACATACCCAGCCCTGTCACACACCCCGTCACACACCCAGCCCTGTCACACACCCAGCCCTGTCACACACCCCGTCA